GCTTTAAAACTGCAAAAGGCCTCTGTTTCTTCACAAGTTATTTACAGAGCAGATGTCTTTCCTGAAACAAAACAAAACGTCTGCCTTTGATTTCCATTATTTGAAATATGGCGTTATGTACTTTCTCAGCTCTAATATTTAGTTGCGTCATTATTCCACAACTAGACACATGAAACACACTTTAAGCCTAAAGGTAAATAGATTCGAGAACATGAAATGCGGAAAATTTTGTTCTGACGACATTGTGTGTTGATTTCTGAATGAATGATTTCTGTGGTGCTCTCTGTGAAACTTTGTCACTATCAGTGTAAATTTCATTCTCACACATCACACCCATCACTAGATAGCGGATGCTGTGCTCTTTTTTTTCAATAATAATTAATCAGTTCATCAAGACAACAGGAAGAAGCCATATAAATACACTAAAAAAATCAAACGTTTGTTCACACAACTGTCTTATCGAATGATTTGCCACTTAGTTTAAGCCACATGTGACTTGAGAAGCAAAGCCACAAGCTGAGCTGAAGTCCAACCGCCATGGTGAGTGTGGCCTATTTACAAAGTGTATCTTAAATCACCAGAGCAAGTAAACGAAAGGAAAGTTGTAAGATAATGTCATAAATCAAATATAAGTATTTTTCGTCTAAATTATACACATACACGTATAACTAGTTAAATGCAATAGGGTTTTATTTTTAAGAACTTCAAACACACAGCAAGTTAAAGGTATATAATTTGATTAACCCATACAAAAACGGAAGTGTAAAAACTGTATATTTTGGCCTTATGTATGGGTTCTGTAATTTCCAGGCAGGCAACAAAAAGAGACACGAGGACATCAAACAAACAAGATATCAATTAGTGATCTTCCGAGGACTGGTCTGGTGACTAGTCCCACCCCCTCCCGTTTCCAGTCTTTTACTGGCGTAAATAACTGCGGCCTTCCAGGCCTATTACTCCATATTTACCCCAAACAGACACGAGAGTGGTGTCAATCTTCTCATCTGACTCTCGGGAAGAGAGCAAGAGGGGTTTATTTACCTAGAAAAAAATCCTTCAGCTTAAAATGCTCTTCTCCGTTCACTTGAATTTACCAAGCTAACCTTTTACAGTCAAGGCTGACATCATTTTAAGTTAAGGGAAGAAATAAACATATTTCTTGTCTCTTCCTTTCATCTCTCTGGCCTACAGGCTGCTGTATGCAGTCAGCGTGGCCGCCCAGGGTGAAGTCTGTAGTAACTCAGCAGAGGAATGTAGGTTAGAGAGCTCTCATTAGATATTCAGTGGACTAATGCTCCGTCTACGGGCAGAGTTGGCACAGCTCAACCCCACTGGATTAGACTGACTGAGATTTGAGATGTTCTCTTTTGGATGTTTTTTGGAAAATAAGGAAGAGATTGAGCATTTCTTGTTCAGCTGTACAACCCTTCCTGGAGCCATTCCAACTCAATCACTCTAACCTGCAGACACCCGTATTTTTTAACTAATGGTGAAAAAAAAAAGTAATGATGCAACGCAATCTTCCCCCTCTGGAAGCTTGTTTGATTGATGGACAACCCTTGAACATGACTGAGATTATGCAGCTCGGCTTGGATGTACTGTACATATTTGCAGGCAGCACCTCCCCTGTGGGATTATCAGCAGCCAGATTAACTGGAAGCTTCTTTAGAACACAACACTCTGAACTGAAAGAAAAGAGTCTGTGTGGGAAACTGCACGCAAAGCTCAATATGCAATCCCTCACACCAATGACCCCTGTATATTCTCTGCAGGAAAGTGAATTAAAATGTTTAATCATGCATAATATGCTTGACTAAAGTACTTTTTATATACCTTTTGCCTGGAGAATTCAAATATGTATACCTGGAGTTTTAAAACCACATATCTATCATGCCTTAATTGGTAGACAAAGTTGATTTTCTCTTAAAAGCGCAAACAAACGCGCAAATAAGTTTAACATTAATCAAATTATTATGATCATTAAATATCAGATTTATACTAAATGAAATGTTAAGGAAAGGTTTAGTGAAAAATATCAATGGATTTGTGCTTAGCTCAGCTAGAAGAAAAGGTGTGGACATCAATTAAATTAGTACAGATTAATGCAAAGAAAATACATTTCAATAGTTCAATGGTTTGAAATAACTAATAATGTATTTCAACATGGATAACCCAGAGATGCTCCAAGGCAAAGCTATGCACCGAATGCACTGATCTATGGAAATGTGTGAGTGTGCTTTCTGCAACAGAGTTAAATAAGGGTCCACTTAGTAGCTAGGAGGAGCGCACTACAAACCCACTGACCTGGTAACACTGTGTACACACAGCTCCCATAATAACACAGCAATAAAAAGAAGTCAACCAATCCCTTCAGAAGTGCAGCCGAAACATGCAAGACCGAGCATTGGGCGGACAAATACTGAACACTCTTAAACTCACTCACACACCTTTAGAAGGAAGGACATCACACCTCTGACTGCCTCTATATCACATGGGTCTTATTATGCTAAACTGCATGCATTCCCCATAGTATATCTGAATAGGTGATGTACAGGCAGGCACATTTATTACCATTTTACTGCAGTATACGCATACAGATTACAAATGCAGTGATGCATGTTTAATGATTTCTAGTTGTCTTTAAGCAGTTATATTTATTAAACACATACACTATGGAGAATAGTAAGTTTAACATAAGTGCAGGTTGTGCAGATTTCATTCAGATTTTACTTCACAATGAATGAATATTTATTATTAATTTAATTGCAGATGCAAACCAAGGATTTGAAGTAACATTATTAAAAAATACATATTTTGCTGTCTTTGAAGAGTTTTGTCTTACAACATTTTCTTTTGAAACACACCTTTATGGGATTTTCTTGGTGTAAGAGTTCACGCAATACAACACTGATTTGCCACTCAGTTGTTTTGCAAGTTAGAACACAGTTTTGACATTTGTGTCACTAATTTCCCCTGTTTTTTTCGAACAGCACAATCATCATCACACAGCTGTAACAGATGTCGCATGAATTTAACAAACAATGTGCTTACTCAAACTGATTTCCTTGTAAAACTGCTTGTAAAAGGTGCTAGGTGCTAGAAGTTTCAATACTTTTAACTGCAACTTGGTAAGAAGGCAGCTGAAAGAAGGAGAGCAAAAAGAACAGAACGGAGGAAATTTGACCATTGTTTAATAATATCAACATACATGATTTTTGTGTTTTTGTGATAGAAAAACAGAAAACAGAATGATGGATGTGGGTGTTACCTTTCCAAAGTCTCGAACATCGAACAGATCGAAGGCTTCAAATAAGTCACTTTTCTTCATCTCAAACACCTCACAGCAAGACATCAGGAATTTGCGGATGTTCTTCAAGCAGAGGAACTGGCAAGGGATAGAAATTATGTCAATTTAGTGTCTCCATTACGCACTAAAGAAATTTGTAAATATTTTCATTTTCTAGAATAATGTTTGGGGCAAAATATTCATTGCATTTTCTAATGAGTTGCTTCACCCAAATTACAAAAAAGACAAATACAAACAGTATAACAGCATATAGTCGTATCTTACCATGCAGAGAGTTTTAGTTTTTACACGCTATTCTTTTTCTTTTTGCTCTCAATGATAAGGTGATGCATTTCTACACATTATTTATCCAAAAGTATTATTGCTTGACAACCACCCCCTGAACCAGTTGCAAAATTAAAGGTTTCGATTACCCACATTACAACTGCACAGGTTTTGAGCCCATGGCTCAGATTTCTCAATGCTCACAGCATTTAAAAATTACAACTACACACTGCATTCTGCATTTCTTTACAGAAACATTGCCCACACAACCCAGAATAAGCTGCCAACTGTTTTTCTACTAGAAGTACTTTACTAAAGAAATAGCCCCTATGATCTGCTGAACTGTTGACCTCCTGGTCTGTGGATTATTAAGAGTAACAGTAACTGCTGCAAAACTATATGTATATAGCCTGTATGGATACCACTGAGGTAAGTTGGAAAGCCTTTTCTGACACACGAATTATGTTTTAGTTTTAGATATTTACAGTATAATAAGAGTACAGTGAATTTGAAGTCGCCTTTATAAAAGTGAAGGTGAACCATGTGCATGCACACACACACACACACACACACACACACACACACATACACACAGCAAACTGAAAATGAAAACTGGAAGTTTCGCAATGCGAAATGAAACCACCAACCATATGCTCTTTTGGTGTCACTTCCTATTAGGATCTGTGTCTTATTGGGAAGTCCAACAACTTTCAGAAAGGTAATCAACTTATGGTTAAGGGTTCGGGCTTGGATCATTTACACTAAATACACCCAGTAAACTATTAGAACAGTAAACAAGCAGTAAACAACTGTGACAGCATAATTTGCTCTTTTGCACATTATTAAGTAATGACTAAACTAGAAACTGCATATGTGATGGTTTACAGTAATAACAGAACTGTAACAAGATTCTTGAGAATAGATAGGCTCTTTTTTATCATGTCAGCTCATCGTGGAGACGCCTGTAATCACTCCACCGCCCCCTGGGGCCCTGTTTGTCTGCGGAGGAAGTGCATGAGCATGATGGCTTTGCACCACTACCAGCCTCATACTTCTGATTACAGTCACAGCTCCGGTGTATATTCACTTTCTTCACATATACTTTGAGAATAAACATAGCATCTGCAGCTTCACAGAGGAAAAAGCAAAGTGCAGGTCTTTCTTAGTACAGTACATTTAAAATGATTGTGAAGGAGGGTTTGTATAGGGTTTATTGATGGTGTCCTTAGTCCTGTTCCTGTTGTTTTAATCTACGACTAACTATTACGCTTTTATTTTGTAACATTTTACATCATTATCTTAACTGTGCTCATATATTTTGATGTTTAGCACATCAAAGCACTGATTTGTCTGATGCTGTAGTCTCTCTTGAAATATTTCGTTTTAATATTGTTGTTCTCTCACTTTCTCTATGAAATGTTTTGCATTTCCCTACAGTACGATAAAAATAGCAGTTCTGAACGCATTTTATCATAGTACACTGCACTCTTGTCCTCCAGTCCATTACCTTCATGTCCCTCATGTCGGCAGGGCACAATGAAAGGCCATTTAAAATCTGGAGCCCACTGACACACATGCCTTTCTCGACCATACTCAGATGGCCTACAGCTGCAGGCTATGGCTATCCATTGTTGTTATGCCCTGGGTTTGCTTTCACTGTCTATCAAGGAATGAGTGGATATGCAACGCTGCAGTTTATAAGAGAGCGCGTGACTGGCTAGGAAACAGCTTTTATTTATTACAAGAGCAAAGATTTTTTTAAGGCAAAATCAGTCATTTTGACTAGATGTCTCCATTTATGTATGACAGTTTGTGGATGATACAATTAAAAACTGATTCTTTGAATACAAATCTTTTTTTAGGAATCTCTCTTGGCACAGCAACAACTAAAAAAATGTATCTTTTAATCTAATCTTGCAAAAACAAACTATGTGAAGTCTAGTAACAAATTATTAAACCTACTTGCGTTAACCCTTCTTTGTGTGTGCGCGCTTCATATCATGGTTTACAAATCAGTCCCTTGACGATAATACGTTAAGATGTGACCAAAAAGTGTGGTGGAAGTCGCGTGTTTAGAGTCTGACTATACAGTTGTCATATGTATCTTACTTTTGAGAAGTCCCGATAAAGATCTAATCACCTGCCATGTTGCCTGAATGAAGCGAGTACAATTTGGTGCACAGGAAGTCTTGTTCTTAAAGTGACATATTAAAAAAGGCATGACATTATCAGTGATTATTTTGATAACCCTAAGTATACTGGAAATATATTGCTATAAACTGTAGTTCTTTTGTTTTATTACACCTACCAGTGAGATTTTCTAAAAATCTCTTCTTCAAGAGCGTTTTACTGTTCATAAGCGTAAGCAATCACAAAGTCTTTGAATGGCTAACTACATGCCTTATAAGACTTACTATGATACTTACTATGATACTCAGTGGCAAGCAAACTACAAGCTTCGGCACACATAGTAAAAGTTCCCTAACTAATGGGTGGATCAAAGCCAGGATTTTATCAGGCCTCTCCAGTGGCAGAGGGAAGAATTATGGGTAAAGAGAGGTCAAGCCATGGACAATTCCTTTGGGTTTCACAGGCATATGAGGGACATATAGCACTCCCTTGGTTAATCAAAACGAGTATCAGTTGCTTAAAAGTACACCAGACATATAGAAAGGTTTACAATAAACCAGGGTAGATTAACTATCATATTTAGAAGAAGTATGCAGATGTGTCCACATCAGACAATAATCTCCAAAATAAGTCGGTCAGAGGGCACTCGGTGGTATTATTTTCTAAACTTTTTACAGTGCTGGAAGAGATAGGGTGTGCTCTGTGTTCCCAGATTCTGTATGTGACTATAATGATGGAATAGATTGTAGGCCGGCTTTTTGTCGTAGTGGTGTGTGGTGTGTCTAATGGACCTGTTTATTTTTCTTGAAAAGCAGCTGTCACCTTGTCAACCTACTTCATGCATACAGCAGTGTTCATGAGAATAAGTGACAATGATTGGTTTCTAATAACAAAACTAATTCAACTTTACACCAGCACCTGATTGTTAATATGCAAAGTAATATTAACTGGCCTCGCCTGACATATAACACTACAGGTTTACTGATAAGACATGCTTTAAGTCCCATTAACGTATGGCTACACTCATTTGGATATCCGCTGAATTCTTTCACAGCGGTTTTGCAGGTCCTCTGCACGCATTACAACCACAACAAGTTGCTTTGGAAGCAAGAAATAATTGGTCTAGGCTACCTGTGACATCTGTGGTCTGAGATTGATCTCCTTCAGGTTGATGGTGTGAGGTTTCAAGTTGTTCAGTAGCTGGCACAGCAGCACCCCGTCCCGCAGGGTTTGCGCCAAGTCGAACACCTGCGCCGTGTCCGCAGTCACCCGGTGGTTCGCAGGCAGCACGTTGCAGCTGATCAGCCACATCGCACATTGCCTCCAGTACTCCATGTTGTCGGAGAGCGGTGAAAACAGCAGGATAATGCCAAATTGTTAAAAGAAACTTTGTCCCTATTTTAAGCCTGTGCACGGCATGGTAGCTGCGCTCACTCAGCGCCGTCCGTGAGTCTCTCCAAACTCCAGCATCGCCTCTGGAGGACAGAGAGAACTGCTGCAGCTTATGAGCGCTGCACAGCTGGGTAGGCTGCCGTGAAACCCCCGCTGTCTGTGTGAACTTCCCCTTCCTTCTTCTGACATATTTCCACAGAGGTGGTCGTAAAAAAAAAAAAAAAAGTGTAGATATATTTGAAGTAATAATCCCCTCACTTCTAAATTGGGTTGGCCGTTTCTGCAGAATTAATGAAACAATCCCTGCAGAATCTTGTCTTTAATGTTAATAATAAGGTTGAGGTGACAGGTGTTTCTCATGTCCACTACCATTCGTAAGATACGCATGCAAATGTTGACCTGATTTTGAATTTACAGCTTTTGGCAGCTTGTAAAACCTTTTATATGGTTGTTGGTTTCATTTTATTATAGACCTGCAGCTTTTTATTGTAAAAAAAAAAAATTATATTAAATATCATTAACAGCTTAATCAATAAACCACAGAAAATACAAAAGTTAGTCCAATTGGGGTTAGTGTTAATTACTTGTATTGTCTGACCAACAATCCAAAAATAGGCTATATAAAAACTACCAAATCCTCACATTTGAGAAGCTGTAACCCGCAAATATTTGACAATTTGCTTAGTAAATGACTTTATTGATCTTTAGAGTTGCTGGCAATACATGTTTTGTCATCATTCACACAGTTTAACTCTATTTGTTCTATGAGAAATGATGTGTACTGCAGAGTAATCCTTTCCCCTCAGTCTCCAACTCTCAGCTGACATTCCATGTGGATTAAAAAGCTTGACAGGTGACTATAATCTGAGTTCTCTGTGGAGTGTATGCTGGGCGGCTGTGATCTCTATGTTTCCATTTAGTTATAAGTTAAACCAGATAGAAAAGAATCAGGCGATCTAACTGAGGCAGAAGGAAGGACATCCTCCTGCCATGGGATTTACTGTAGATCGCTGTCATTAAACCCATGACATAAACACAGGAAGGAAGCTGAGGGATCCCATCTTGTTTTACCCTGAGTGAGTGAAAGAGCCAGATGTTTCCTTAGACACTGCTTAGACTCATACATTTCAACTCATATAAGTATTTCAAGCAGGAAAGCTTGCTCTCTTGATTAGTTAAATGCAAAACATCGCTATAATATAATGCAAGTACTCATCCGATAGCACATATCCGATACTGTCTATAGTATTAAATATTTTCCCTGAAAATAAAATGGGAAGAACAACCCATATCCATAAATGTATAAAAAGTTGCACAAACACCATACAAAACTGACAACTAATCTAATAGCATGTGCTGTAGTTGAGGTTAGATAAGAACTGGCTAATTGGATATTATTAATAGAAGAAAGTAAAAAAGGTTGGACCAAGTTATTGTTTTGCCAGTCACAAGTTAGTCTCAAGTCTTTGCACTCAAATCAAGTCCCAAGTCTTAAACTTTCAGTTTCGAGTCGTAAACAAGTGAAAATGTGCTCTAAACCAAATGTAATACCATTTTAACAACAAAACAAACAAAAGTAAATTAACTTTGGTATATTTTTTTCCAACTGGGGCTCAGTATTGTAACAACCAGATTGAATGCTGTTGAATTGGTTCAAAGAAAGTGGATCTAGGGAATTAAGTGTCAATTTGCTGGGAAGGAATAGAGTTAACATTAGTTGATTAAGAAAAGGGAAATGAACTGATTCGTGGCACACTTTTTAAGAAACATTCTTTTTAATCTTTAGATGACTCTAGAGTAATCAAATTTGTGACTTCATCATGCATGGATCATGCATACTGGTAAGCCAGCAGCATTGTGCACA